CTCCATTCTTATGTTCTTATGACATTCCTCAGGTCACGTGCGTCACATCTCACTCTCCGCCTATATATATAATGTCTTTCTACCTCTGTATGTTAGAAGTGATCAAGGTCCCAGGACCGAAACGTTTTCTAATAAATATGTTATAGTGTTTGCTTACGTGTCTTTCTAAACCAACTTGTAGGTATTTATTACCAAGGTTTATACCATATATATATATATATATATATATATATATATATATATATATATATATATATATATATATATATATATATATATATATATATATATATATATATATATATATGAGACTTCTGTTGAAGAAGACATTCTTATTTTGCACACTGTCTTCCTACATGAATCAGAGGTGAAGAAATATTCCATTTGAGGTGATCATTCGCGAAGAAAACATGGTAGGATAATTGTCAAGTGCTGTGGTAGGATAATTGTCAAGTGCTGTGGTAGGATAATTGTCAAGTACTGTGGTAGGATAATTGTCAAGTACTGTGGTAGGATAATTGTCAAGTGCTGTGGTAGGATAATTGTCAAGTACTGTGGTAGGATAATTGTCAAGTGCTGTGGTAGGATAATTGTCAAGTGCTGTGGTAGGATAATTGTCAAGTACTGTGGTAGGATAATTGTCAAGTACTGTGGTAGGATAATTGTCAAGTGCTGTGGTAGGATAATTGTCAAGTACTGTGGTAGGATAATTGTCAAGTACTGTGGTAGGATAATTGTCAAGTGCTGTGGTAGGATAATTGTCAAGTACTGTGGTAGGATAATTGTCAAGTACTGTGGTAGGATAATTGTCAAGTGCTGTGGTAGGATAATTGTCAAGTACTGTGGTAGGATAATTGTCAAGTACTGTGGTAGGATAATTGTCAAGTACTGTGGTAGGATAATTGTCAAGTGCTGTGGTAGGATAATTGTCAAGTACTGTGGTAGGATAATTGTCAAGTACTGTGGTAGGATAATTGTCAAGTGCTGTGGTAGGATAATTGTCAAGTACTGTGGTAGGATAATTGTCAAGTACTGTGGTAGGATAATTGTCAAGTGCTGTGGTAGGATAATTGAGTGGAGAAATTGTCAAGTGCTGTGGTAGGATAATTGTCAAGTACTGTGGTAGGATAATTGTCAAGTACTGTGGTAGGATAATTGTCAAGTACTGTGGTAGGATAATTGTCAAGTACTGTGGTAGGATAATTGTCAAGTACTCTGGTAGGATAATTGTCAAGTACTCTGGTAGGATAATTGTCAAGTACTGTGGTAGGATAATTGTCAAGTACTGTGGTAGGATAATTGTCAAGTACTGTGGTAGGATAATTGTCATACTGTGTAGAGGATAATTGTCAAGTACTGTGGTAGGATAATTGTCAAGTGCTGTGGTAGGATAATTGTCAAGTACTGTGGTAGGATAATTGTCAAGTACTGTGGTAGGATAATTGTCAAATACTGTGGTAGGATAATTGTCAAGTGCTGTGGTAGGATAATTGTCAAGTACTGTGGTAGGATAATTGTCAAGTACTGTGGTAGGATAATTGTCAAATACTGTGGTAGGATAATTGTCAAGTGCTGTGGTAGGATAATTGTCAAGTACTGTGGTAGGATAATTGTCAAGTACTGTGGTAGGATAATTGTCAAGTGCTGTGGTAGGATAATTGTCAAGTACTGTGGTAGGATAATTGTCAAGTACTGTGGTAGGATAATTGTCAAATACTGTGGTAGGATAATTGTCAAGTACTGTGGTAGGATAATTGTCAAGTGCTGTGGTAGGATAATTGTCAAATACTGTGGTAGGATAATTGTCAAGTACTGTGGTAGGATAATTGTCAAGTACTGTGGTAGGATAATTGTCAAGTACTGTGGTAGGATAATTGTCAAGTACTGTGGTAGGATAATTGTCAAGTACTGTGGTAGGATAATTGTCAAGTACTGTGGTAGGATAATTGTCAAGTGCTATGGTAGGATAATTGTCAAGTACTGTGGTAGTCATGACAATATACCTCCATATATTGAGCATGACCACTCATAGCCTGTGTATTGGAAATTAAATGAACGTCATATGAAATAAAAGATGTACTTAATGCGGTAATTAAAAGCTGACCTAGAAAATGTACAGAGAACCTTCACGGCGCGCATAACGGAGATAAAACACCTCAATTACTGGGAGCGCTTGAAGTTCTTGAACCTGTATTCCCTGGAACGCAGGCGGGAGAAATACATGATTATATACACCTGGAAAATCCTAGAGGGACTAGTACCGAACTTGCACACGAAAATCACTCACTACGAAAGCAAAAGACTTGGCAGACGATGCACCATCCCCCCAATGAAAAGCAGGGGTGTCACTAGCACGTTAAGAGACCATACAATAAGTGTCAGGGGCCCGAGACTGTTCAAGTGCCTCCCAGCACACATAAGGGGGATTACCAACAGACCCCTGGCAGTCTTCAAGCTGGCACTGGACAAGCACCTAAAGTCAGTTCCTGATCAGCCGGGCTGTGGCTCGTACGTTGGTTTGCGCGCAGCCAGCAGTAACAGCCTGGTTGATCAGGCTCTAATCCACTAGGAGGCCTGGTCACAGACCGGGCCGCGGGGGCGTTGACCCCCGGAACTCTCTCCAGGTAAACTCCAGGTTACTCAGTTGTAGAATATTTACTACACTACCAAGAAATGGGAAGTTTACAATGGCTCTCAGGCGGAAATGTGTTGGATCGGTTTTACAGATTGCAAGAAGAGTAAATACTTTTTATCGGATTTTTTTTTTTAAATTATTTAAGTAGTACACAAATTAAGTAACAAATATTGGACACAAGGTGGTGGTGTAATTTACAAGTATATTCACACATATTAATCTCTCAAAGTAAGGTATTAGTGAAACTAATTTCAAAGTTCGGTGTAAAATGGATACAGTTCAATTTTTCAACTACAACTACAGATCTTTATTTTAAAATAACTATACCAGACGTACAACAATCTCAAGTCTCATAGAATACATTACATTTCAGGAAAATTCGTGGCGACTGCATTTCTATGAAAAATCTTGAGTGTTTTCCAAATCTTAGTGATTGTTTTTATTACCAAATGAAATTTTCCTCAGTTAAAATGTCAAGGTTTAGTAATGCAATATCTTTCTGATCTGTGTACATTCCACAATTAAGGAATATCTTGCTCTTCTAACAGAAACAGAACGGTTTCAAAATCCTTTCCTTGTTTCTGTTACTCTGAATTATCATTTAAAAATAGAATAAACAGTTTAGAGATATTTTGACTTATGTCACTTTAAAGAAGAAATTTCATGTTGAATTTATTAGTTTGAGACGTCAGAAGAATATGCAGAAGCTGCCACATGAGCCTTGAATATTTTGCTCGTTTTGCAACATATCTCTGCCAGGGAATCTTCTTTATATACATTGCTCCAAATATTGGACTTTTAGCCAAGGAAAAACAATCATTTTCATTCCGCACTCCTGAAGAATGTTATCTGTCTCAAGATCCTGTTCTGAGCAGTATACTTATGTATCTGTCGACAGAGTTTTCTCGAGTCTGTAGATCATCAGTGACATCGCTCTCTCTCACAGTGCTTTTCACTGATGATTGTCCTGTTTATTGTTGCTAGTTTCCTTACTGTTTTTCATTACTTCTTGTGCTTCTTGGTCTCCTAAGAGTATCTTAGGACTCCTCTTCTGCTTTTTTTTTTCATTGTTACTGTTTTTTTTTTATCTTCTTATTTTCTCCGTAGTTTCTTGTAACTTTTTCATTTCTTTTTTCTGGTTTTGAGCTCTTTAGTCAACTGTCATTTTCTCCTGTTCCAAGATATCTTTCCCTCTACTTTTAACACATTTCTGCAGTGTCTTTCTAGAGTATTTAACATTTTTTTTTTCCACTTCTTAGTCATTTTCCTCCTAGACCAGCTATTATCATATCTCGGCATTGCTATCCACCTTTTTCTCTTCCTTCTTCTCATCTGTTATTGCTTCTTTTATCTGCTATTTCCTTCTCTAGGATACATACAGTTATATGTAAATGTTCCACACGAAATTTCAGTATAATCAGTCAAGTGTATAGTCTCTTCCTGTGATTTCGGCGTCGCTAGGTGGCAGTCACTCCTCTCAGTCGATATTTCCCCTACCATTAAGACTGTAATAGGCTAGGATATAATACCAGTTTGTGTGTGGCACAGTTCCCAGTGAGTACTCACAGGTTTGTGTGTCCGAGGTAGAAACTCAATTGGTGTGTGTGTGTGTGTGGGGAGGGAGAGAGGGGAGAAGGACCGCTGCAACCCTTCACAAACATAGGCTATGCTTCCCATACTTTCTGTTGTAGAGGTACATACGGTCCTATGGTCGTCCCAACATTTAAATCAAAGGAGTTTAGCTGTACCGCCGGAGTGGCTATTGTATTGTGCACTGTTCTGTTCTCATGCTGTCAGCAGTTTTTCTGTGTTGTCTATGCACTTTCCACATTTGCAGGCACATAATCCTTTTTGCTTGCAACAGTAAATATACTAAGGTTAATATCTTGTAGTGTTTATCATGTGTATCACCTAATTTCGCCTAACAACACAGCTTTTATCTTCACGTAAGACCGAGTTCACCTTCCCAGTATGTCTCACGAAAGAGATGGTAGTCCACTTCCTGCTTTACTGTCTACGTTTCTATTAACTTCATAGGTATCATCTTTATAATTTGTGCATTTTATGGCTACGAGTCTTAAATATTCTTCTCAAACTTGATGGCGCAGGTTGATATGGAATCTGTCAGGCTTTTCTTAATCATATTTTCTTTACATAATCTGTTGGGTGGAGCTTTACAGCTTCGTTAAGCAACCGACACCAATATGGAAAAACCTTATAAATGACAGCATTTCACTTAGGCTACTTTCTTTTTAAAAAGCTTGCATAAAAAACGAAAGATTTTCATTTATAAAGTTTTCCCACTTTAAATTGTTCGAACTTGCTGGCATTAACATGCCATTGTGGTTACAATCCGACACCGGTGTTACCGGTCTACGCTGCGGCTCCTCCAACTCTCACTGCTTTTAACCCCAACAACAACAACTATACATACAAAAAAGTGCCACTTCAACAAAGTGACACGAGTACAGCAGTTAGAAGAGGAAATTTCGAAATTAATAATTTTGCGAAACTTAGAGATAGACGACGAGGAAGGTGAAGACATTACCAGACATCTAGATATAGATAGATATTTATTCAAATAAATTTATTGTGTATGAACAGCAGGTAATCATTTTTAACTGAAAATCGAGTACATATGTATGTTACTGTCGTTTCCAATACATGTTCTTCATCTCTGTTCTTAAGACATTTTGCTTATCTTTGATGTTTTTAAGTATTCAACATGCACTGGCCACAGTTGGGACTCTTCATTACCTGGAGTTTACCCGGAGAGGGTTTCGGGGGTCAACGCCCCCGCGGCCCGGTCTGAGACCAGGCCTCATGGTGGATCAGGGTCTGATCAACCAGGCTGTTACTGCTGGCCGCACGCAAGCTGACGTATGAACCACATCCATTTGGTCAGGTGCTGACTTTAGGTGCTTGTCCAGTGCCTTCTTGAAGACAGCCAGGGGTCTATTGGTAATCCCCCTTATGTATGTTGGGAGGCAATTGAACGATCTTGGGCCCCAGACACTTATTGTGTTGTCTCTCAGTGTACTCATGGCGCCCCTGCTTTTCGTCGGGGGAATGTTGCATCTGCCGAGTCTTTTGCTTTCATATGGAGTGATTTTTGCGTGCAGGTTTGGTGCCAATCCCTCCAGGAGCTTTCAAGTGTATATTATCATGTATCTCTCTCACCTGCTTTCGAGGGAATACAGATCAAGGACCTTCAACCATTCACAGTAGTTTAGGGACCTTACCGTACTTATGTGTGCCGTGAAAGTTCTTTGTACACTCTCCAGGTCTGCAATGTCGTCAGCCTTGAAGGGGACTGTTAGAGTACAGCAGTATTCCAGCCTAGAGAGCACAAGCGATTTGAAGAGAATCATGATGGGCTTGGCATCCCTAGTTTTGAAGGTTCTCATTATCCATCCTATCATTTTCCTAGCAGATGAGGTAGATACATTGTTGTGGTCTTTAAAGGTGAGATCCTCTGACATTATCACTCCCAGAAAAAACACATTACCTCTCCGCTCTGTTGTATGGTTAGAATTTGTGGTATACCCTGACACATTTTTAATTTCTTCAAGTTTTCCATATCTGAGTAGCTGAAATTTCTCCACGTTGAACTTCATATTATTTTTAGTGGCCCATTCGAAGATTTGGTTGATGTCCCCTTGGAGTCTCGCGGTGTCTTCGATGGAGGTCACTGCCATGGTGATCTGGGTGTCATCCACAAAGGAAGACACGGAACTATGGCTTACATCTCTGTCAGAAATGAGGATGAGGAATAGAATGGGAGCGAGTACTGTACTTTGTGGAACAGAGCTTTTTACCGTGGCTGTCTGGGACTTTACTCTGTTTACTATTACTCTTTGTGTTCTATTTGTCAGGAAATTGTAGATCCATCTACCAACTTTTCCTGTTATTCCTTTATCACGCATTTTGTGTGCTATTACACCATGGTCTCACTTGTCGAAAGCTTTTGCAAAGTCTGTGTATACTACATCTGTATTTTGTTTATCCTCTACAGCATCCAGGACCTTGTCATAGTGATCCAGGAGCTGGGACAGGCAGGAGCTACCTGCTCTAAACCCGTGTTGTCCAGTGTTGTGTAACTGATGGGTATCTAGGTGGTTGGCTATCTTGCTTCTTAGAACCCTCTCAAAGATCGGTCTGTAGTTCTTTGCAATTGCTTTACTGCCACCTTTGTGGAGTGGGGCTATGTCTGCTGTTTTCAGTGTGTGTGGGATGACCCGTGTCCATGCTCCCTCTCCATTAAATGCTGAAGGCACGCGATAGGGACTTCTTGCAGTTCTTGATGAACACAGAGTTCCATGAGTCTGGGCCTGGGGCAGAGTGCATGGGCATGTCATTAATTGCCTCTTCAAAATCTTGCGGAGTTATAATAATATCCAAGAGTTTTGGGATGACCAGATTTTGGGTTTCGTTCATAAAGAATTCATTTGGATTGTCATCTCTAAGAGTGGGCATTGGATCGCTGAACACTGAGTCATATTGGGACTTTAGTATCTCACTCATTTCCTGGCAATCATCTGTGTATGTCCCATCCCGCCTTAGCAGGGGCCGAATACTGGATGTTGCTTTTCCCCTTAGATTTGGCATAAGAGAAGAAGTATTTTTTTTTTTTCAATTTCCTTTATGGCTTTTAGTTCTTCCTGTGATTCTTGTCCTCTATAAGATTCCTTCAGCTTAAGTTTGTTATTTGCAATTTCATTGACTAATGCTTTCCTTCGTATTTCAGATATATTGACCCCACTCAGCAGCTCGGTGACTCTTCACCTTCGTCTGTATAGGGAGCATCTCTCTCTTTCTAGTTTACATCTTCTCTTTCTTTTTCTTAATGGAATGTGTCTTGAGCAGATCTCAAGAACCACAGAATTAATTTTTTCAAAGCAGATGTTCGGGTCCGTGTTGTTTAGGATATCTTCCCAGCTTGTTTTATTTAGGACATGGTTTACTTGGTCCCATTGTATGTTTTTGTTATTGAAATTGAATTTCATGAAGAGACCTTCATGACTGTGATGCTGGTCCGGAGACCTGTGCATACATGTCTGTACTTCTATTATGTTGTGACCTGAGTGAATTGTCTTTGATACAGTTATACAGTGGACCCCCGGTATTCGATATTAATCCGTTCCTGAGAGCTCATCGAATACTGATAATATCGAAAACTGAATCAATTTTCCGCATAAAAAATAATGGAAATCAAATTAATCCGTGCAAGACACCCAAAAGTATGAAAAAAAAAAAATTTACTACATGAAATATTAAGTTTAATGCAATAGAATAATTACAATAACAATAAAATAATTGACACTTACCTTTAATGAAGATCTGGTGATGGTTGATGGGATGGGAGGAGGGGAGAGGTGTTAGTGTTTAGAAGGGGAATCCCCTTCCATTAGGACTTGAGGTAGCAAGTCCTTTTCTGGGGTTACTTCCCTTCTTCTTTTAATGCCACTAGGACCAGCTTGAGAGTCACTGGACCTCTGTCGCACAACAAATCTGTCCACAGAGCTCTGTACCTCCCGTTCCTTTACGATTTGTCTAAAATGGGCCACAACATTGTCATTGTAATAGTCACCAGCATGGCTTGCAATAGCTGTGTTAGGGTGATTTTCATCCATAAAGGTTTGCACTTCAACCCACTGTGCACACATTTCCTTAATTTTTGAAGTAGGTACAATGGATTCCACAACTGGCATAGGCTTCTCAGGGTTAGCCCCAAACCCTTCAAAATCTTTCTTAATTTCCATACTAATTCTCACCCTTTTTACCACAGGGTTGGCACTAGAAGCTTTCTTGGGGCCCATGGTGACTTATTTTGCAGAAACAAGCACCAAACACAGTGATAATATGGAATGTACCGAATGTATCCTTAGATGCGCGCACACTGGCTGGCTTGTAAACACTGGCACACACGGGGCAGTTCAGGCCACACGTGGACAGGTCTCGTACGAATCGTATCGAATACCGGGTTTTCAATACCGAGGAAATTTTTTTGCGATATAATGCATCGAATACCGGATTTATCGAATACCGATGCCATTGAATACCGGGGGTCCACTGTATTACGTATCAGATCATCATTGTTAGTGAAGATGAGGTCCAGCATATTTTCTAGTCTTGTAGGCTCTACTATTTGCTGGTTTAAGGTGAATTTGTTACAGAGATTAGTAGTTCGTGTGTGTGTGTGAATTTTCATCTGAGTTGCCTCCCAGGGTGATCTATGCTAAAACATTCCATAGCGTCACAAAATGAATAGATATGTGGAACGTTATCCTAGGTAATCTACACTTATACTGCTATGTATGGTAATCTGTGTAACTGAATTTATGTGTACAAGAACTTGAATAAAAATACTTAACACCTACTGCCCTTGGTACTTCACCATGTCAAAAATAAATAAATAAATAAAGGGTATAAATTACACAAAATGAGATAGTGAGGCTTTTTCTGGACTTGGGTCCAGGCTGGCAAAGCTCTCGCTTCACACACGGAGGGCCCGGGTTCAATTCCCGGCGGGGTGGAAACATTTTGACACATTTCCTTACACCTGTTGTCCTGTTCATTTAGCAGCAAATAGGTACATGGGTGTTAGTCGACTGGTGTGGGTTGCATCCTGGGGGACAAGATTGAGGACCCCAATGGAAATAAAACAGACAGTCCTCGATGAGGCACTGCCTTACTTGGGTTATTGTGAGTAGCTAACCCTCCGGGGATAAAAATCCGAACGAAATCTTATCAGTCCAAGAGAACATGTATGCCAGGATGAATTAAAAAATGGAAGTGCTTAATTTTTTTTAATCAGTTTTTTGAGATTGTGTTCCTTACTGTATTGTGTACAACTCAATGAAGAAATTGTAAACAAAAAAAATTAATTGATAATAAGATATAATGTTTTTGAAATTATATTCCTTACTGTACTATGTAGAGTAACTATATGAAGTATGTAGTTGTAAAATATGAAATGACTAATGTTTATTTCTAGTGATGCAACAATGCTTAACGGAGTCTGACAAAGACCCATTATGGCCTATAATCCTGTTTTTTGGGGCTACAGTTCTCAGGATGAGCATGGGGTGCATTATAAACTAGCCTCTCAGGCAGCACAACTAACTGGCAGATAGTGTAAAGTACATTTAAACCCCTCATTAACCACTTTACCAGCTGGTTGAGTGGTTAACACACACACTTGTGAGTTTAAAACTTACTTGCCATGGGTTCAAGCCTCACCCCTTCTGTGACTAGGTTGGGGAGACCCAGATGTTGTGTTGAGGTCAAAAGTATTTGGCAGGTGGCATATTTAAAGGCACAAAAGATTATGGGCACTAGTATGTCTAGTATATCAGACACATTCTTGTCACCTGTGCACTAGTATATTGGTCACAATTAAGGGGTTAAGATGAGGGTTTGTAGTTAGTAAGTTTAAATTTAGGTACAGGTACATATAAATACAGTTACATAAATTTTCATACATATCAACATATGTAGATTATCTAGGATAACCCAAAAAACGTCAGACAGAGTGACTTATTTCCATTCGAGTCCTTGCAATATCTTACTGTTTAAACCTTAAAAGTTAAAACATGTATGCGTTAATCCAAACATTTAAGGAAACATTTTGCCACAATTATCTTCTTCAGCCCTCGGATTGATCTTACCAGTCCTAGGACTGAGGAAGTCACTTGTGGTGAAATGTTTCCTGAATAAATGTCTTGATTAGTGCATACATGTCTTCACCTGCAACTTGTTGGTATCACCATACCAGTTTAATCAAAATGAGGGTTTACTGTTTATGATGTTATGAAGGATACACATTTGACTTTGTTGTAGAGACCCTTATGAATTTTAGGGGTATTGTATTCTAGATGATTGTTGCAGTGCAGAAGGACCCATTTGATGACTGTCGGGTAGCGTAAACACTTTCACCGGACTGTTTTCTCTGTTAGAGAATACAATGAATTCACTTTCAATATCGTCATTACTGTGACTTTAACTTTAACTGCCCCTCTTTGCTGAAAATCCCTCCTTTGACATAGCCTCCTCCAATGACTATTTTTAACAGAAACTACCCTGTTGCACCAGCTATGATGTTACTGTAATTTTACATCATCACTAACTTGCTTTCTTTGGATTATAAACCCCAGAGTGCTATTTAACCCAGGATAATCCAAGAAAGCCATGCATTGTGGTTTATTTCTGTTGAGGCCTTTTTGGTTTTCTTCCCCAAGCTGTGACTCATAACAGTTGACTAACACTTGAGTACCTATTTTTTGCATGGTGAACAGGGGATGCAGGTTTTAGGAGACATGCTCTTTTGTTATGTTGTTTTTCCTGGATAGAACCCAGGTTCTTTTAGTTTCAAACCAAATTCTCTACCACTGGGATGTGTGAGGGTAGTTCCTGTATTTCATAAAAAAAAAAACAATATTTGTTGTATAAAGAATGCTTGTGTACAGTTTTATTTTTTTTCAGAAGGGAAATGTCGGAAAGTTCTTTATTCGTGGATCTGGTGAACTCTTGGTTTGGGAGTCTAACACTCAATCTCTTGTGTTACTCTACAGTATTCATTCCTGGCTACATCCTTATTCAGTATTTCAAAAAATCAAAATACATAGAAAGAGCAGGTAAGAGAATTTGTTTTTCATTTTTAGGTTATATGTAATGTAATATACTGTAGATACTTTCTTTTTTCATATGCTAGTGATTAGCTTAATTTTGCTTTTATATTCTTATTATTCAGGCATAAAAAATTTAAAAGAATTGCTAACCTCTGGCTATTACTGTGAAGATAATAGATAAGATTTTGTTCAGATTTTTAACCCCAGATAACCCATGAAAAGCAGTGCATCATTGAGGGACTGTCTGTCTTATTTCCATTGGGGTTCTCAATCTTGTCCCGCAGGATACAACCCACACCAGTCTACTAACACCCAGGTACATACTTGCTTGCTAGGTGAACGAGGACAGTAGGTGTAAGGAAACATGCTCAAGTGTCTTCACCCTTGCTGGGGATCGAACCACAGACACTGTGTGTACTGTATTTATGTGATTCACAGTAAGCAGGGGTGGATAGTATTATTTTTATTTATTTTATTATCACACTGGCCGATTCCCACCAAGGCAGGGTGGCCCGAAAAAGAAAAACTTTCACCATCATTCACTCCATCACTGTCTTGCCAGAAGGGTGCTTTACACTACAGTTTTTAAACTGCAGCATTAACACCCCTCCTTCAGAGTGCAGGCACTGTACTTCCCATCTCCAGGACTCAAGTCCGGCCTGCCGGTTTCCCTGAACCCCTTCATAAATGTTACTTTGCTCACACTCCAACAGCACGTCAAGTATTAACCCTTTCAGGGTCCGTCCCGTAGATCTACGGCTTTACGTTCAGGGTCCAAACCGTAGATCTACGCCATGAGCTCAGCTCACTCTGATAAACTGTGAGTGGTACATTTGGGCCTAGATATGAGAGAATACATCTATGTGGTATGTGTGCACCACATAAAACAGATCCTGCAGCACACTGTGTATAATGAGAGAAAAAAAATGAAATCATGATTTTTCGATTAAAACAGCAACTTTGCAGTGTTTTTTCGTATGTTTTTTATAGTTGTATTTGCGATTTCTTGGTCTCATTTGATAGAATGGAAGACATATTACAGAAATAGAGATGATTTTGATTGGTTTTAGCATTGGAAATGGCTTGAAACTGAGCTCAAAGTAGCGGAAATGTTAAATTTTTTGCCGATATTCAAGAGTAAACAAACGACCTCACACGTCTAATACACATCAGCTGGTGGGTCTAATATACATTCACAAATATGGTGATGATATTTATACAATTATTACAGTATTGCATAACAGTAAATCTTCTATTTTTTGGTGTGAATAAAAATTCATTATGTGAATAAAAAATCAAAATGGAATTTATTTGTAAAGCCTCAAAACATAACTAATGAACAGAGGAAATGTTAGTTTAGTGCCAGAATGCCTACATTGTTCATTCTGGACCCTAGTTTGAAATTGGAATATTTTGAACTTTGTGTTAAATTGGCCAAATTAACAATTTCCGATCACATTATTTTGTAGTTTAAACAGATGACTTGGCGATTTCTTGTGCTCAGTCGATAGAATAGAAGTAATACTAGTGAAATAGCTAAGAATTTGGTTGATTGAATAATGTAATTGGCCTAAAATGGGAGTCAAAGTCGGCAAAATCGCCGATTCGTAAATATCGCTGACACATCAAAATTCGCGAGAGCATAATTTCGTCAATTTTCCACCAATTTTCGTACTTTTTGTTTTATTACCTTCACAAAAATATTCTCTACGATTTCATAAGAAAAAATAACAAATTTTTTTTTTGAAATATCTTGGACACTGGTGCGTGACTCCAGATTTGGGCCTTGGACCCTGAAAGGGTTAAAAACCATTTGTCTCCATTCACTCCTATCAAACACGCTCACGCATGCCTGCTGGAAGTATTAACTATTATAGTATTAAGACTGAATTATTGTAAACAGGTGGACATAAACTATTGAGTGTTTGGTGTTTGTATTCGTTTATGAAAGAAAGAGAGATATCTTAATATTAACAGAGTGCTAGTAGCCACCTGCTCATTGATGAGCACCTGGAAGGATTAGGGTATCAGTGACAGCTAGAACATGAGTGGGAATGTCACATAAAATGATTGAGGAAGCTTTTATTCAAAGGCTTTTTTCCATGTAATTCAAAAAAGCAGAAGTTGTATAAGCAGAGCTCTATTACTGATTTTGACTCATTCATTATTATTTTTTTTTTTTTTTCAACAAGTCGGCCGTCTCCCACCGAGGCAGGGTGACCCAAAAAAGAAAGATAATCCCCAAAAAGAAAATACTTTCATCATCATTCAACACTTTCACCACACTCACACATTATCACTGTTTTTGCAGAGGTGCTCAGAATACAACAGTTTAGAAGACTTAATTAAGACTTAATTAAGCTAAAACTTGTTATGCCTAATAATCCATGTAGTGATAAAATTAGGCTTATAAACATTTTGTTAATTTATCCATGTTTTGAATGACATCCAATGGCTTGTTTTTAGTTAACGAGTCTTGTATCAAGTCAAAACAGAATGGGCTCACAGCCAAAGTTAGTTGGTGCCAAAGCAAAGTTACAATTAAGGGTGGAGGAAAGGAGAAAAAAGAAATAGGGAGATATATACTTTATTATCAGTTTCATAACATGTGCACATCAACTCAGACAGGCTCTTGGTTGGTAGTGGAGGGAGAAGGAAGAGTAAAAACAGGCAGATTATGATTGAATTTTGGTTTTGTTTTTATCATTTTTTGACCAAATTCATTTCCTTATGGTATATAACTATGTGATATGCCCATAACTTTTTGATAAAAATAAGATGAGCAATATGAAATATTTTTTCTTCTGGCACTAGGTTTAAATATAGGGAGTACATTTGCATTTAGGATTTTTCTCATTATTTTTGCTGTTTTTTTTTTTTTTTGTATATGATTATTTGGTGCATGTACTTTCATGGTAAAAGACACCAATAATGGATGATGTATATCAGGAAGATGTACAACTAAGTAAGCACAGAATGAGATGCATTATAATGTTTCAACTTATGAGTCTTTCATAACACAGAACCTTTTCTCCTATAGAAATTAATACTACAAAGAATGATTATGTGTCACACATTTGTAACTACAGAGAGACTCGTAAAGTAATGATTTTTCACTGTCCTTTGAACCTTGTTTGTCAGTGCACAACATTGTAACTTGGATGTTCATAAGTCAAGAACTCCTGTACTGGTCATCATTTGTAGACTTGACTAGTTGAGTCAAAGGTAGCTTGGCTGGTCAACGTGTGTGAAGGTTTTAGACAATATAATTTTTTTTTTTTTTGGGGGGGGGGATTTAGAAAAGGCATATGATAGAGTGGATAGGGGAGTAATGTGGCAGATGTTGCAAGTAGTATATGGAATAGGTAGTAAGTTACTAAATGCTGTAAAGAGGATAGTGAGGCTCAGGTTAGGGTGTGTAGAAGAGAGGGAGATTACTTCCTGGTAAAAGTAGGTCTTAAACAGGGATGTGTAATGTCACCATTGTTGTTTAATATATTTATAGATGGGGTTGTAAAAGAAGTAAATGCTAGGGTGTTGGGGAGAGGGGTGGGATTAAATTATGGGGAATTAAATACAAAATGGAAGTTGATATAGTTACTTTTTGCTGATGATACTGTGCTTATGGGAGATTCTAAAGAAAAGTTAAAAAGGTTAATGGACGAGTTTGGGAGAGTGTGTCAAGGTAGAAAGTTGAAAGTGAACATAGAGAAGAGTAAGGTGATGAGGGTATCAAATGATTTAGATAGAGAAAAATTGGATATCAATTTGGAGAGAAGGAGTATAGAAGTGAATGTTTTCAGATATTTGCGAGTTGAGGAGTCAGCAGATGAGTTTATGAAGGATAAGGTAGTAGGTTGGTAGACAGCAACCACCCAGGGAGGTACTACCGTCCTGCCAAGTGAGTGTAAAACGAAAGCCTGTGATTGTTTTACATGCTGGTAGGATTGCTGATGTCTTTTGTCTGTCTCATAAATATGCAAGATTACAGGCATGTCTTGCTACTTCTACTTACACTTAGGTCACACTACACATACATATACACATTTATTCATACACACTCATCTGAGTTTTCTTTGATTTTATCTTAATAGTTCTTGGTCTTATTAATTTTCCTTTTATATCCATGGGGAAGTGGAATAAGAATCTTTCCTCCGTAAGCCATGCGTGTTGTAAAAGTCAACTAAAATGCCGGGAACAATGGGCTAGTAACCCCTTTTCCTGTAAAGATTACTAAAAAGAATAAGAAGAAGAAAATTGTCAAAGTGGGAAGTCTGAATGTGCGTGGATGTTGTGCAGATGATAAGAAAGAGATGATTGTGGATGTTATGAATGAGAAGAAGCTGGATGTCCTGGCTTTAAGTGAAACAAAGCTAAAGGGGGTGGGAGAGTTTCAGTGGAGAGGAATAAATGGGATTAGGTCAGGGTTTCAAATAGAGTTAGAGCTAAAGAAGGAGTTGCAATAATGTTGAAGGATAAGCTATGGCAGGAAAAGAGGACTATAAATGTATTAATTCAAGGATTATGTGGAGTAAAATAAAGATTGGATGTGAAAAGTGGGTTATAATAAGCGTGTATGCACCTGGAGAAGAAGAAGTGTAGAGGAGAGAGAGAGATTTTGGGAAATGTTGATGAATGCGTGGGGAGTTTTGAATCAAGTGTGAGAGTAATGGTGGTTGGGGATTTCAATGCTAAAGTGGGTAAAAATGTTATGGAGGGAGTAGTAGGTAAATTTGGGGTGCCAGGGGTAAATGTAAATGGGAGCCTTTAATTGAGCTATGTGTAGAAAGAAATTTGGTAATAAGTAATACATATTTTATGAAAAAGAGGATAAATAAATATACAAGTATGATGTAGCACGTAATGAAAGTAGTTTATTAGATTATGTATTGGTGGATAAAAGGTTGATGGGTAGGCTCCAGGATGTACATGTTTATAAGGGGCAACTGATATATCGGATCATTATTTAGTTGTAGCTACAGTTAGAGTAAGAGGTAGATGGGAAAAGAGAAGGTGGCAACAACAAGTAAGAGGGAGGTGAAAGTGTATAAAACTAAGGGAGGAGGAAGTTCGGGTGAGATATAAGCGACTATTGGCAGAAAGGTGGGATAGTGCAAAGATGAGTAATGGGGGGGTTGAAGAGGGTTGGAATAGTTTTAAAAATGCAGTATTAGAATGTGGGGCAGAAGTTTGTGGTTATAGGAGGGTGGGTGCAGGAGGAAAGAGGAGTGATTGGTGGAATGATGAAGTAAAGGGTGTGATAAAAGAGAAAAAGGTAGCTTATGAGAGGTTTTTACAAAGCAGAAGTGTTATAAGAAGAGCAAATATATGGAGAGTAAAAGAAAGGTAAAGAGAGTGGTGAGAGAGTGCAAAAGGAGAGCAGATGATAGAGTGGGAGAGGCACTGTCAAGAAATTTTAATGAAAATAAGAAAAAATTTTGGAGTGAGTTAAACAAGTTAAGAAAGCCAAGGGAAAATATGGATTTGTCAGTTAAAAACAGAGTAGGGGATTAGTAGATGGGGAGATGGAGTATTAGGTAGATGGCGAGAATATTTTGAGGAACTTTTAAATGTTAAGGAAGAAACAGAGGCAGTAATTTCATGCACTGGTCAGGGAGGTATACTATCTTTTAGGAGTGAAGAAGAGCAGAATGTAAGTGTGGGGAGGTACGTGAGGCATTACGTAAAATGAAAGGGGGTAAAGCAGCTGGTACTGATGGGATCATGACAGAAATGTTAAAAGCAGGGGGATATAGTGTTGGAGTGGTTGGTACTTTGTTCAATAAATGTATGAAAGAGGGGAAGGTACCTAGGGATTGGCGGAGAGCATGTATAGTCCCTTTATATAAAGGGAAAGGGGACAAAAGAGATTGTAAAAATTATAGAGGAATAAGCTTACTGAGTATACCAGGAAAAGTGTACGGTAGGGTTATAATTGAAAGAATTAGAGGTAAGACAGAATGTAGGATTGCGGATGAGCAAGGAGGTTTCAGAGTGGGTAGGGGATGTGTAGATCAAGTGTTTACATTGAAGCATATATGTGAACAGTATTTAGATAAAGGTAGGGAAGTTTTTATTGCATTTATGATTTAGAAAAGGCATATGATAGAGTGGATAGAGGAGCAATGTGGCAGATGTTGCAAGTATATGGAATAGGTGGTAAGTTATTAAATGCTGTAAAGAGTTTTTATGAAGATAGTGAGGCTCAGGTTAGGGTGTGTAGAAGAGAGGGAGACTATTTCCCGGTAAAAGTAGGTCTTAGACAGGGATGTGTAATGTCACCATGGTTGTTTAATATATTTATAGATGGGGTTGTTAAGGAAGTAAATGCTAGGGTGTTTGGGAGAGGGGTGGGATTAAATTATGGGGAATCAAATTCAAAATGGGAATTGACAAAAGTTACTTTTTGCTGATGATACTGTGCTTATGGGAGATTCTAAAGAAAAATTGCAAAGGTTAGTGGATGAGTTTGGGAGTGTGTGTAAAGGTAGAAAGTTGAAAGTGAACATAGAAAAGAGTAAGGTGATGAGGGTGTCAAATGATTTAGATAAAGAAAAATTGGATATCAAATTGGGGAGGAGGAGTATGGAAGAAGTGAATGTTTTCAGATACTTGGGAGTTGACGTGTCGGCGGATGGATTTATGAAGGATGAGGTTAATCATAGAATTGATGAGGGAAAAAAGGTGAGTGGTGCGTTGAGGTATATGTGGAGTCAAAAAATGTTATCTATGGAGGCAAAGAAGGGAATGTATGAAAGTATAGTAGTACCAACACTCTTATATGGGTGTGAAGCTTGGTGGTAAATGCAGCAGCGAGGGAACGGTTGGAGGCAGTGGAGATGTCCTGTTTAAGGGCAATGTGTGGTGTAAATATTATGCAGAAAATTCGGAGTGTGGAAATTAGGAGAAGGTGTGGAGTTAATAAAAGTATTAGTCAGAGGGCAGAAGAGGGGTTGTTGAGGTGGTTTGGTCATTTAGAGAGAATGGATCAAAGTAGAATGACATGGAAAGCATAAAAATCTATAGGGGAAGGAAGGCGGGTAGGGGTCTCCTCGAAAGGTTGGAGAGAGGGGGTAAAGGAGGTTTTGTGGGTAAGGGGCTTTGGGCTTCCAGCAAGCGTGCGTGAGCGTGTTAGATAGGAGTGAATGGAGACGAATGGTACTTGGGACCTGACGATCTGTTGGAGTGTGAGCAGGGTAATATTTAGTGAAGGGATTCAGGAAACCGGTTATTTTCATATAGTCGGACTTGAGTCCTGGAAATGGGAAGTACAATGCCTGCACTTTAAAGGAGGGGTTTTGGGATATTGGCAGTTTGGAGGGATATGTTTGTGTATCTTTATATGTGTATGCTTCTAGACTGTTGTATTCTGAGCACCTCTGCAAAAACAGTGATAATGTGCGAGTGTGGTGAAAGTGTTGAATGATGATGAAAGTATTTTCTTTTTGGGGATTTTCTTTCTTTTTTTGGGTCACCCTGCCTCGGTGGGAGACGGCCGACTTGTTGAAAAAAAAAAAAAAAAAAAAAAAAAAAAAAAGGTTAACCATAGCATTGATGAAGGAAAAAAGGCGAGTGGTGCATTGAGGTATCTGTGGAGACAAAAAAACATTATTTATGGAGGCAAAGAAGGGAATGTATGAAAGTATAGTGGTACCAACACTCTTATGTAGGTGTGTGAAGCTTGGGGTTTTAAATGCTGCAGTTAGGAGGTGGTTGGAGGCAGTGATGTCCTGTCTAAGGGCAATGTGTGGTGTAAATATTATGTAGAGAACTCAGAGTGTGGAAATTAGGAGAAGGTGTGGAGTTAATAAAAGTATAAGTCAGAGGGCTGAAGAGGGGTTGTTGAGGTGGTTTGGTCATTTAGAGAGAATAGATCAAAGTAGAATGACATGGAGAACGTATAAATCTGTAGGGGAAGGAAGGTGGGGTAGGGTTCGTCCTCGAAAAGGTTGGAGGGAGGGGGTAAAGGAGGTTTTGTGGCGAGGGGCTTGGACTTCTAGCAAGCGTGCGTGAGTGTATTAGATAGGAATGAATGGAAACAAATGATTTTTGGGACCTGACGAGCTGTTGGAGTGTGAGCAGGGTAATATTTAGTGAAGGGATTCAGGAAAACCGGTTATTTTTTATATAGCCAGACTTGAGTACTGTACTGGAAATGGGAAGTACAATGCCTGCACTTTAAAGGAGGGGTTTTGGGATATTGGCAGTTTGGAGGGATATGTTATATATCTTTATGTATATTTCTAAACTGTTGTATCTGGGCACCTCTGCAAAAACAGTGATTATGTGTGAGTGAAGTGAAAATGTTGAATGATGACGAAAGTATTTTCTTTGTGGGGGATTTTCTTTCTTTTTTGGGTCACCCTGCCTCGGTGGGAGATGGCCGACTTGTTGAATAAAAAAAAATTGTTGTTTTGTTTTTGTCTCTTTGTCTAATTATCTGACTTGACAAGGATCAATGTTAAATGAAATAAAAGTTGGGGAAGGGAGAAGATAGGCTTGACTTGTAAGGGCAGTACTACAGAAGATGATAATCCATTAATCCTCTGTTGAAAAAATTTCTTATTAAAGGTGTTTGAATAATGCAATACAATGTGTATTACAAGAAGTTCTTACGTATGTATTCTTGTTTCTCAGAAATTAGTGTTTTTTTATTTTAAGTTCTTAACCCTTTGAGGGTTTCGGCCGTACTAGTACAGCTTACGACCCAGGGTTTTTGACGTACTACTAGTACGCCTAAATTCTAGCGCCCTCAAATCTAGTGGGAGAAAGCTGGTAGGCCTACATATGAAAGAATGGGTCTATGTGGTCAGTGTGCACAGTATAAAAAAAATCCTGCAGCACACAGTGCATAATGAGAAAAAAAAAACTTTGACTGTTTTTTTGGAATAAAACAGCGACTTTGCACTGTATTTTTGTATGGTATTTATTGTTGTATTCTAGTTTTGTTGGTCTCATTTTATAGAATGGAAGACTTATTACAGAAATTGAGATGATTTTGACTGGTTTTACAATGAAAAGTACCTTGAAATTGAGCTCAAAGTAGCAGAAATGTTCGATTTTTACCAAAGTTCAAAAGTAAACAAATCATGCCAAGCGTCCAACACGTCAACTGGCAAGTCTAATATTCTTTTGCAAGTGCACCAATATTATTTATACCATTTTTTACACTAATGCAGTAGTCTGCATAACAGTAAATCTTCTATTTTTTTGTGAGAATAAAAATTCAAAGTGGAAAGCAAAAGAATGTAAGAGGGGCCTTGAGACGTGACTAATGAACAGAGGAAATGTCATTTTAGTGCCAAGAATGTCTTTCTTGTTTATTCTGGACCCTATTTGGAAATTGGCATTTTTTGAAATTTGTGTGAAATTGGCAAAATTGCTAAATTCTGACCACTGTACTGGATAGTTGAAATTGATAAATGAGTGGTTTCTTGCACTCATTCGATAGAAAAAATGAAGTTCTAGCGAAATATTCATGTTTTTTGTCGACTAGTACAGTGGAATTGGCCAAAAATGGGGCTCAAAGTGAGCAAAATCGCCGATGCGTAAACATCGCCAAGACCGCTAACATCGCGAGAGCATAATTCCGTAAGTTTTCCATCAAATTTCAAACTTTGATCGGGAAAAGATTCTCTGTTTTTTCATAAGAGAATTTTTTTTTTTTTAAATTTGGCCGACCTTGAGAATGAGTCTTGGAGAGGGCCTGTCGACCCTCAAAGGGTTAAAGATTTCAGGCAATTGAAATACATTTTTTAATGTACATATACATTGGGAACCTTAGCAGCTCAAGTAATGAGATGATTTGAGTTATTGTGTATAATCTTGTTTGAAGATCCATCATTTACTGCCATAGTTTGTTGATATGACCAACTAAACTATCCTAACTGATGTATCAAATTTTATCTTACAGGTTCTGGCCTCATTTCCAAACTCATTACATCTTGTGTTTATGGTCAAAATTATGAAAAATTAATGACAACAGATTTAGCTTCATCAAAAACACTTCCAGCAGAGAGAAGCACAACTTACAGATGTTTCCAGATAGCCTTCTGCTTTGTGGGTCTTCAGGCATCGTATCTTACGTGGGGTGTTTTGCAAGAAAAAATTATGACAAAGGTAAGATGAGATGTTTCTGTAATGTAATTACATACCTCCGAGTAATTATTTTAATTTGCTCAACATTTTTATAGTTTTTTTAATTACCTGTTTATAATTGCCAACTATATTAGTATGCTATATCAACTCATAGCTCAGTTGCTAGTGCTGTCAGCTCACACATGGAGGTCCATGATTCGATTCCTGGTACGGGTGGAAATATTAGGATGCGTTTCCTTAAGACATCTGCTGTCCCTGTTCACTGACACCTGCTGTCCCTGTTCACCGACACCTGCTGTCCCTGTTCGCCCACACCTGCTGTCCCTGTTTGCCTAGCAGTAGATAGGCACTTGGGTGTTAGCCTTCTGGTGTGGGTTGCATCCTGGGGACAAAATAGCTCTAATTTGAACATTAAAATGGTATAAAATACCGACAGGTTGTTAGGTAAGACACATATGCAACAGTTAGGTATCTTTATTGTGAAACGTTTCGCCTACACAGTAGGCTTCTTCAGTCAAGTACAGAAAAGTTGATAGAAGCAGAAGATACTTGAAGACGATGTAATCAGTCCATCACCCTTAAAGTTTTGAGGTGGTCAGTCCCTCAGTCTGGAGAAGAGCATTGTTCCATAGTATGAAGCAATATGGAGAAGAAGTGACAGGATGGAGCTTTTTATAGCGCCAAGAGGTGAGACGTAGGCCACTAGGAGAGGTAAGAACTCAGATGTTGAGAGGTCAGGTCCCTCTCAAATCCAGCCCCTCTCACTAGTGGAAGTTGTCGAAGTTGATTGCAGGTCTGTACCAAGATACCCTTGTGTTGCAGTGTCTGACAGATTGAACATTAAAATGGTATAAAATACCGACAGGTTGTTAGGTAAGACATATGCAACAGTTAGGTATCTTTATTGTGAAACGTTTCGCCTACACAGTAGGCTTCTTCAGTCAAGTACAGAAAAGTTGATAGAAGCAGAAGATACTTGAAGACGATGTAATCAGTCCATCACCCTTAAAGTTTTGAGGTGGTCAGTCCCTCAGTCTGGAGAAGAGCATTGTTCCATAGTATGAAACAATATGGAGAAGAAGTGACAGGATGGAGCTTTTTATAGCGCCAAAAGGTGAGACGTAGGCCACTAGGAGAGGTAAGAACTCAGATGTTGAGAGGTCAGGTCCCTCTCAAATCCAGCCCCTCTCACTAGTGGAAGTTGTCGAAGTTGATTGCAGGTCTGTACCAAGATACCCTTGTGTTGCAGTGTCTGACAGATTGAACATTAAAATGGTATAAAATACCGACAGGTTGTTAGGTAAGACACATATGCAACAGTTAGGTATCTTTATTGTGAAACGTTTCGCCTACCCAGTAGGCTTCTTCAGTATCTTCAAGTATCTTCTGCTTCTATCAACTTTTCTGTACTTGACTGAAGAAGCCTACTGTGTAGGCGAAACGTTTCACAATAAAGATACCTAACTGTTGCATATGTGTCTTACCTAACAACCTGTCGGTATTTTATACCATTTTAATGTTCAATCTGTCAGACACTGCAACACAAGGGTATCTTGGTACAGACCTGCAATCAACTTCGACAACTTCCACTAGTGAGAGGGGCTGGATTTGAGAGGGACCTGACCTCTCAACATCTGAGTTCTTACCTCTCCTAGTGGCCTACGTCTCACCTCTTGGCGCTATAAAAAGCTCCATCCTGTCACTTCTTCTCCATATTGTTTCATACTATGGAACAATGCTCTTCTCCAGACTGAGGGACTGACCACCTCAAAACTTTAAGGGTGATGGACTGATTACATCGTCTTCAAGTATCTTCTGCTTCTATCAACTTTTCTGTACTTGACTGAAGAAGCCTACTGTGTAGGCGAAACGTTTCACAATAAAGATACCTAACTGTTGCATATGTGTCTTACCTAATAGCTCTAATTTGCCTGAAATGCTCTGCATAATATGGGCTTTCTATATCGTACATGTCATTGCTGTCAGCCAGGTCTGTATAAGTTGAGCATGTACTTGTAGAAGTAGATTATTATTATTATCTTCCTCTCTGGGTACTGAGTGTGGTTATCATCTCTCCTCTCTTCTTCTTTTAGCAACGTCATTTCTAAAGCTTTTAGCTGTTTTTCATAGGTCGATATTCAAGATAAAAAAACGACCTCACCCCGTCAAAAACCACAAACTGGTGGGCCCAAAATTTTCATTCAAAAATTTTGTGATGATATTTAAAACAATTTTTAAACATTTTTTTAAAATAACAAAAAATTTTCCTATTTTTTGGTGGGGAAAAAAAATTCCCTTATGGAATAAAAAACCCAAAATGGAATTTTTTTGTAAAGCCTCAAAACAAAACTAATGAACAGGGGAAAATTGTTATTTAGTGCCAGGAATGCCTACATTTTCTTTCCCTGGACCCTATTTTAAAAAGGGAAATATTTTGAATTTTGTTTTAAAATTTGGCCCAAAATTTAACAATTTCCGATCACATTTTTTTTGTATTTTAAAAAATTGATTTTGGCGATTTTTTTGTGCCAGTCGATAAAAATAAAGTAATACTAGTAAAAATAGCTAAAAATTTGGGTTGTTTGGGAATAAGGGAAATTTGGGCCAAAAAAGGGAGTCAAAGTCGGCAAAATCGCCGATTCGAAAATATCGCTGACACATCAAAATTCGCGAGAGCAAAATTTTTCGTCAATTTTCCCCCAATTTTTCGTATTTTTTGTTTTATTCCCTTTCAAAAAAATATCCCCAAAACGATTTCAAAAGAAAAAAAAAAAATTTTTTTTTTTTTTGAAAAATCTTGACACTGTGCTTGCCCTCCAGTTTTTTGGGCCTTGGACCCTGAAAGGGTTAAAAACCATTTGTCCCCATTCCTCCTATCAAACACGCTCACGCATGCCTGCTGGAAGAAATTAACTATTATAGTATTAAGACGAATTTTTGTAAACAGGGGGACATAAACAAATTGAGTGTTTGGTGTTTGTATTCGTTTTAAAAGAAAGAGAATATCTTAATATTAACAGAGTGCTAGTAGCCACCTGCTCATTAAAGGGGCACCGGGAAGGGATTAGGGTACAGGACAGCTAGAACATGGTGGAAGGGTCACATAAAATAAATTGAGGAAGCTTTTATTCAAAAGGTTTTTTTCCATTTTATTAAAAAAAGAAGAATTTGTATAAAGCAGGGGCTCTATTACGATTTTGCCTCATTCATTATTTTTATTTTTTTTTTTCAAAAAGGGTTGGGGGCCCGTCTCCCACCGGGGCAGGTGCCCCAAAAAAAGAAAGATAACCCCAAAAAGAAAATACTTTCATCATCATTCAACATTTTTCACCAAAACTCAAAAAATTTATCACTTTTTTTGCAGAGGTGTTTCCCAAAATACAACATTTTAAAAGATTTAAATTTTAAGATTTAATTTAAACCCTAAAACTTGTTATGCCTAATAATCCATGGGTGATAAAATTAGGCTTATAAACATTTTTTTAAATTTTTACCATGTTTTAAAATGACACCAAGGGCTTTTTTTTTAGTTAACGTTCTTGTATCAATAAAAAACAGAAGGGGGCTCCGCCAAAGTTAGGGGGCCAAAAGCAAATTAAAAATTTAAGGGGTTGGGGAAAAGGGGAAAAAAAGAAATGGGGAGATTTATACTTTATTATCAGTTTCATAACATGGCACATCAACTCAGACAGGCTTTTGGGTTTTGGTAGTGGAGGGAGAAGGAAGGTAAAAACGGCCCAGATTATGATTGAATTTTGGTTTTGTTTTAATAAATTTTTTGCCCAAAAATCATTTCCTTTTTGGTATATAACTATGTGAATGCCCATAACTTTTGATAAAAATAAAAATGGGCAAAATGAAATATTTTTTCTCTGGCACTAGGTTTAAATTAGGGAGTACTTTTGGGCATTTAGTTTTTTTCTAAATTTTTTTGGGGGGGGGGGGGGGGGGTTTTTTTTTTTTTTTTAATAAATTTTTTGGGTTCCCATGTATTTCCCAGGTAAAAGACACCAAAAAAGGTAAGTATATCAGGAAGATGTACAACTAAGTAAGCACAGAATGAGATGCTTTTTAAGTTTCAATTTGAGTCTTTCATAACACAAAACCCTTTTTCCCTCCTATAAAAAATTAATACAAACAAAAATGTTTATGTGTCAAACATTTGTAACTACAGAAGACTCGCCCAGTAATGATTTTTCACTGTCCTTTAAACCCTTTTTTGTTTGTCAGGCCCAACTTGAAACCCTTGGATTTTTTCATAAGCAAGAACTCCTGACGGTCATCTTTTTAAAACTTAAATATTGGGGTAAAAAGGTAGTTTTTTGGCGGGTTTAAAACGTGTTGAAGGTTTTAAAAACAAAATAATTTTTTTTTTTGGGGTGGGGGGGGTTTTTAGAAAGGGCATATAAGATTTGGTTTTTTTAAAGGGGAAAAAATGGGGGGCAGATTTTTTGAAAATAGATATGGAATAGGTAGTAAGTTACAAAATGCGTAAAGAGGATAGTGAGGCTCGGGTTTAGGGTGTGTAAAAAGAGAGGGGATTTATTTCCTTTGGTAAAAGTGGTTTTAAAAACGGGGATGTGAAATTTGTCACCATTTTTGTTTAATAAAATTTTATAGATGGGGTTAAAAAGAATAAATGCTGGGTTTTGGGGGAAAAGGGGTGGGATTAAATTAGGGGAAAAAAAATACAAAATGGAATTGATATAGTTATTTTTTCTGTGAAACTGTGCTTTGGAGATTCTAAAGAAAATTTAAAAAGGTTAATGGACGATTTGGAGAGTGTGTCAAGGTAAAATTTGAAAGTGAACATAGGGGAAGAGAAAAAGGTGATGGGGGAAATCAAATATTTTTAGATAAAAAAAATTTGGATACTTTTGGGAGAGAAGGAGAAAAATTTAAAATTTTTTTCAGATTTTTGGGCCCAAAAGGGTTGGGGAAAGGGGGGTTTCAGCAATGAGTTTATAAAGGAAAAAAGGTAGGGGTTTGGGTAGACAGCAACCCCCCGGGAGGAACAACCGCCCCTTCCAAGTGAGTGTAAAACAAACCTGTGATTGTTTTACATGCGGTGGGAAATTCCCTGATTTTTTTTTGGTCTGCCCTCATAAATATCCCAAGATTACAGGCATGTCTTGCTACTTCTACTTACATTTTAAGGTCACACTACACATACATATACACTTTTTATTCATACACACCCCTTCAAAAGTTTTTTTTGTTTTTTATCTTAATAGTTCTTGGTCTAATTTTTTTTCCCTTTTATATCCAGGGGGAAGTGGAATAAGAACCCTTTCCTCCGTAAGTTTTTCGTTTTGGAAAAAAAGTCAACTAAAATCCCCGAAAAAGGGGCAGTAACCCCTTTTCCTGTAAAAAAACAAAAAAAAGAATAAGAAGAAGAAAATTTTAAAAGGGGGGAACCAAAATGTGCGGGGATGTTTGCAGATGAAAAGAAAGAAAAGTTTGGGTGGATTTATGAATAGAAGAAGCGGGGATGCCCCTGGTTTTAAAAGTGAAACAAAGCTAAAGGGGGGGGGAAGTTTCAGTGGAGGGGAAAAAATGGGATTGGGTTAAAGGGTTTAAAATAGATTTAAGAGCTAAAAAGGAGTTGCAATAATGTTGAAGGAAAAACTATGGCGGGAAAAGGGGGACTATAAATTTATTAATTCAAGGTTTATTTTGGTTTAAAATAAAGTTTTGGATGTGAAAAGTGGGTTAAAAAAGCGTGTATGAAACCTGGAGAAGAAAAAGTGAGAGGAGAGAGAGAGTTTTTGGGGAAATTTGTTTAAATGAAGGGCGGGGGGGAGTTTTGAATAAAGGGTGTGAGATAATGGGGGTTTGGGGGATTTCAATGCAAAGGGGGTTAAAAATTTTTATGGGGGGGTAAAAGAAAATTTTTGGGGGTGCCAGGGGTAAATGTAAAGGGGGACCTTTAATTGAGCTAGTGTAGAAAAAAAATTTTGGTAATAAGTTACATATTTTTATGAAAAAAGATAAAAAAAATATAAAAAGGTATGATGTACACGTAAAAAAGTATTTTTTATTAGATTATGTTTTGGTGGATAAAAGGTTGAGGGGTAGGCCCCCAAGGATGTCCCCTTTTATAGAGGGGAAAACTGATATATGGGACCCAATTTTTTAGTTGTAGCTACAGTTAAGTAAAAAGGTAGAGGGGAAAAGGGGAAGGGGGCAAAAACAAGAAAAGGGGGAAAGGTAAAAAGGGGTAAAAAAACTAAGGGGGGAGGAAGTTCGGGTGAGATAAAAGCGACTTTTGGGGCAAAAAGGGTGGGATAGTGCAAAGATGAGAATGGGGGGGTTGAAGAGGGTTGGAATGTTTTAAAAATGCA